GGCATGGACTCAGGGAGCACGGGGGTGGGGGGGGCAGGGCGGGGCATGGACTCAGGGAGCACGGGGGTGGGGGGGCAGGGCGGGGCATGGACTCAGGGAGCAGGGGGGGGGGAAGGCGGGGCATGGACTCAGGGAGCACGGGGGTGGGGGGGGCAGGGCGGGGCATGGACTCAGGGAACACGGGGGGGGGGGAAGGCGGGGCATGGACTCAGGGAGCACGGGGGTGGGGGGGGCAGGGCGGGGCATGGACTCAGGGAGCACGGGGGTGGGGGGGCAGGGCGGGGCATGGACTCAGGGAGCAGGGGGGGGGGAAGGCGGGGCATGGACTCAGGGAGCACGGGGGTGGGGGGGGCAGGGCGGGGCATGGACTCAGGGAGCACGGGGGTGGGGGGGCAGGGCGGGGCATGGACTCAGGGAGCAGGGGGGGCGGGGCATGGACTCAGGGAGCATGGGGGGGCGGGGCATGGACTCATGGAGCATGGGGGTGGGGGGGCGGGGCATGGACTCAGGGAGCACAGGGGGAGGGACCAGGGCATGGACTCAGGGAGCACAGGGGGAGGGACCAGGGCGGGGCATGGACTCAGGGAGCACAGGCGGGGGGGGGGGGGGGGCGGCGGGGGGGGGGGCGGTGGTAGGGGGGGGACAGGGCAGGGCATGGGACAGGGCAGGGCATGGACTCAGGGAGCAGAGGGGGAGGGACCAGGGCATGGACTCAGGGAGCACAGGGGCAGGTGGAGAACAGGGGACATTGCTCTGTAGGCCAAGACTATGACTTCGATCTCGGTCTAAGTGCAATGTAAGGTAGTAAAGAATTTTTATTAGGGAAAAGCAGAGATCCAATTCATGTTTTAAAAAGATGACCCCAGTCGCTACACAAGTGGGTGGCAAGAGAGAAAGCAAGGTTCCAGGAAAAGGATTCTCACAGTAACACAGACATTCAAGATGTACTCTGACGCTAACCCAACCATTTTGTGGATGAACTGGATGTGGGGTGTGGGAGGGGAGAATGGGAAATCAATCGGGCTTTATTTCAGTGATCACGCACAATGAGGCGTCACTCACGGACACAGAGAGGATTCGTGGAGAAATGGGTTTCCAGGGGGAAGCAAGAGCAAGGTTGTGAACATATTAAGTTTGAGATGTTCCAGAAACATCCACGTGGAGCTGTCAAGCACGTAATGTGGATAAATGAGAAAGGGGCGCGGAGGGGAGATCCAAGTTAGAGATACAGATTTGGGAGTTATGAGCATATAGATGGTTTTTAAAGCCATGGGAACGTGATGTAAAGAGAAGGCGACGAGAACTCGGTGCCACGCTATGAGGAACTTGGAAGGTGGTCAGATGCAGACCAGAAAAGGCATAACACAACAATGGAAATCTATGCATTACAGGAGCCTCTAAGTCCCTATAGCCTTTTAACATACTCTCTGGGTGCTGCTCTTACTACACATGTTGTTTCCTTAAAATATATTTTTATTGATTTTAGAGAGAGAAGAAGGGAGAGGGAGAGTGAGAGAGAAACACGGATCAGTTGCCTTCCTTATGTACCCCAACCTGGGACTAAAGCCACAACCCAGGCACGTGCCCTGACGGGGAATCAAACTGCAACCTTTTGGTGCCCAGGGCAATTCTCAACCAACTGAGCCACACCGGCCCGGTCTACAAAGGGTTTATTTGGCGGCTTGATGACTGAAGAGCACTCTTCCTCATTGTCAGTATCACCCCATCATCTTTAGTAACCAGCTACTGTTCTGTGCGTGCTCTGTCCACTGAGCCAGACCGGCCAGATGCTCTATCCACTGAGCCAGTTCCTTACAGGTCCTCCTTAGCAATCAGGGACACACCCCGAGCTGTTCTGCCATCAGGCACTTCAACAGAAATTAAACAGGAGACGATGCTCCGCGCACATGAGGAGGCAGGCCATGGCAGGAAAACCAGGACTCTGACGATCTAGGCTTGTCACACTGGTGTGACCCAGCTGTGACCAGGACTGGCCTCTCATGAAATGAGTTTTCTGACCAAGTGTAACAGCGAGCCTGAGGAGCAAAGCCAACGAACGCTGAGACCACTGTCATTCAAGTTTTGTTTATATTTGTATGTATTTCCTTACAGATTAACATGATGACAGAAAGGGCTGGACATGCTTCTCAGCTTCATTAACAGTGACTCCCTTCCTCGATTAAACTCATTTAGAGGATAGATTTAGGTTTAAAAGATAGCATTTCCTTATGTGAAAGACCATAGATGATTCTTGGTGTCTGAGTGCAGTGAAAACCTTTAAACAAGTTTTTACTTGATTATGTTAGCCACATAACTAGCAATTATGTATATATATTCATACATATATATTCTCATATGTATTTATATATATACACCAATATATACATATGTACATATATAATCTTGGGTTAAAAATCACAGTCTAACATTATGTTCATAATTATTTCAAAAGAGCAGCCATGCAGTTCGCTATAGGTTCATAAAGGGTGAGCACATGATTCCAAATTAGAAACAGGAATGTCTAACCCAGGGGTGGGCAAACTTTCTGACTTGAGGGCCACAATGGGTTCTTAAACTGGACCGGAGGGCCGGAACAAAAGCATGGATGGAGTGTTTGTGTGAACTAATATAAATTCAAAGTAAACATCATTACATGAAAGGGTACGGTCTTTTCTTTTTTAGTTTTATTCATTTCAAACGGGCAGGATCCGGCCCACGGGCCATAGTTTGCCCACGGCTGGTCTAGTCAATGCCATAATAAACATCCAGAAGTCAAAGAAGGGCGGAGCCCAAGCAGGTGCTGCCTGCAGCCTGGTCCTGTCTTACATTTTACAAACAGAACATCACGATCCTCAGAAATCCAGCGACTGTCAATGAAGGCACAGGTCCAGTGCCCACAAACACGACTCACGGCCACCCTCACGCCCTCCCAGTGCCCCGTCCACGGAGACGCACTGCCCTCTGATTTTCACACTCGTTACGTCTCTGCCATAAGTCGCAGCTGCACACCTGCGTTACCCACCTGGCACAGATGTCAACCGCCCACGTCTGTCCATTCGGCTTCATCAGTGTGCACTCAGATATCTCACTGGCATGAATAAGAGGCCCTCAATTAGAGCCCAGAGGGAGAAGCAAACAGGTAATGATAAACACCCAAGTGCTCAGTGAGAGCGCTGCCCACTGGGTAACTAGGCACCAACACAGAGGAAGAATGAGGATGGTAACAGAGCATTTCCAGGTACCAGAGGAGACGCTCTAAGAGGGGGATGCCTGGTTTGAGCCCTAGCTGGCAGGTGTTTAACCAGATGGGATGAGGAAGAGGACGGCTGTGTAGCAGATTGCCACCAGGGGCAGGGCTGGAGGCTGAGCCAGGATGGCATCGATAATGCAGCTGTCTGGGCTACAAAGCCATCTGCCTGCACTTGACCTCAGCCGAAAGGCCGAGACCTGAGCGCAGGAAGCCAGGGATGGAGCTGGCTGGCTGGCTGGTGGGCTGCAGGGCCTTTCTCTAAGGACTGCGGGCGTTCTTGTGGGCAGTGGTGGCTATTGCAGCAGTTTCCATCCGGGACCGCCAGGGTCATTTTTTGGTCATTTCATGGCACCTTCAGAACAGACCAACTCACAGAGACAGGGGCAATGTGGTAACACTGACTTCAATCTAGAAAATTAAAGTAGATCTAAAATAGGTAGGATCCCAAATACCTCCTGCTTCCAATACTTTTCTGGGAAAAGGGAGATTATTGGTCAGGAAGCGCCAGCCGCTGCCTCCCCAGGTCATTTCCCCCTGCCCGGGTGCTCACAGCCCCCCACCCCTCCAGCCTGAACCCTGGCACCTTCACTTTGGACCTAGTCCTCCACAAGCTCCTTTACAAACGGTCGCATCTGTGCCATCTGTGCCTTGGGATGCCACGCGGGTTCCTCAGAGGTGGAAACAGAGCCTAGGGCGGCCTTCAGGGAGCCATGCCGAAGACGTTACGTTTCCCGGAAAAATCCACTTCCTGACTTACTCCTTAGTTACCGCTCAGAGTTAAAGCGCTCAGTGTTACTGCGCCGGCTTGGAGGCCACCGCAGAGCAGACAGGCCGGAGGAATCTCTGGCTGCATAACGCCCCCCCGCCCCAGGCTCGCACCAGGGGACCCGAGGGGGTCTCCGCCTGCCCGCCCCGATGGTCACGGGTGGCCGGACACTTCACCGTGGTCACAGGCAGAGGCGGAAACATCGCTGGGGAAACAGCACTGCCTGCTCCTTTCCGAGGCCCGTAGTCACCTACCAAGTGTCCTATCCGAGAGAAATACTATCAATTCTATTGAAAAGCAGAATTACAGGAATCCTACTGGCTCTTTCAATAAAGTCAACCATGGAATCATGGGTTATATTTGCTACATAGACAGACGTTACCTATCGGTTTATTTAAAACGTTTATGGAGAGTCCAGCCCGCAGCCCCCAGCAAGCGCAGTGCTCCCAGGGCTCTCCACAGCGCACCCTGGCGGCCAGCCCGCGACGCCCACCTCCCAGGGCCACGCCTCTCTGTGCCGGCTGCCCCAGCCCTCAGCCCCCAGCCCCCAGCCCCCTGGGCGGAGCCTAGGCCTGAGCTGCGGGGGCCCAGCCAAGGGAGCTGGAGGGGCTCCCCCAGGGAGAGCGTGCACCTCCTCCCCAAAATGCCCGGAAGGAAGGGACGGAAGGGACAGAAGCCATGCGCGCAGGAGAGCGGGCGCTGGAGGGCGGAGGGTGGAGGGCGCAGGGCCAGGAAGGGCATGTGTGGCGGGACGGCCTCGAGGCGCCGGGCGGGCCGTTTGCTGAGCGTTCGACCGGGTAACGGCTGCCCGCCGGAGTCCGCGGTGCCACCACCGCCATGGGCTGCGCCCCGAGCGTCCACATTTCCTCCGAGGCCCCGGGTGCGTACCTGGGCGGCAAAGAGGAGGAGGATGCGCAGAACCCCTGGGCACTGCTGCAGGGCGCCACCCTCCCCTCGGACCCCTACCTGCCTCGCGGCGAGATACCCGCGTCGGACGTGCAGTTCGGCCCCATGAGGTTTCACCCGGACCAGCTCCAGGTGCTGCTGGCGTTCAGCAAGGACGATAACCAGTGCAAGGCCTTCCGCCAGGCCTGCGACCAGGCCGGGTTCAAGTGCACGCTCACCAAGGAGATGCAGGCGGTGCTGACCTGCTTCCTGTCGGCGCACCACGACATCGTCATCCTGGACCACAGAAACCCCCGGCAGCTGGACGCGCGGGCGCTGTGCAGGGCCATCCGATCGTCCCAGGTTTCCGAAAACACGGTCATTGTCGGGGTGGTGCGCCGGCGGGACGGGGAGCTGCCGGTGATGCCCCTGCTCACCGCCGGCTTCACCAGGCGCTACGTGGAGGACCCCAGCCCCCTGGCCTGCTACACGGAGCTGCTGCAGCTGCAGTTCGGGGAGGTGCGGTCCCAGCTGAAGCTCAGGGCTTGCAACTCCATCTTCACGGCCTTGGAGAAAAGCCAGGACGCCGTGGAGATCACAGGCGAGGACCACCTGGTGCAGTACGTGAACCCCGCGTTTGAAACGACCGTGGGCTGTGACTCTCATGAGCTGGTAGGGAAGGAGTTAGCCAAACTCCCTGTGGGCGAGAAAAAGTCCGAGTTGTTCCAGACGATCAATTCATGCATCACCGAGGGCAAGGAGTGGCAGGGCGTCTACTGTGCCCAAAACGGAAGCAACACCCAGCAGAACGTGAAGGTCATCCCGGTGAGCGGGCAGGGAGGGAAAATCAGACACTATGTGTCCATCATCCAACTGAGCAATGGGAAGAGCAAGGCCGGCCTGCAGTCCGACTCGCTCACAGACAGCCAGGTAGGGAAACTGAGGGACAGGAGGCTAAGCTCCAGGGCCAGTGAAATGGCTGGCCAGAGGCGCCACTCCTCGCTGGCCCGGATCCAGTCGGTGGCCATGGAGGCGCCCATCACCAAGGTGATCAACATCATCAGTGCCGCCCAGGAGAACAGCTCCGTGCCTGTGACGGAAGCCCTGGACCGGGCGCTGGAAATTCTGAGAACCACGGAGTTATATTCCCCGCAGTTCGGGGCAAAGGATGAGGATCCTCACGCCAATGACCTCCTCGGGGGCCTGATAGTCAATGGTCTGCGAAGGCTCTCTGGGAACGAGTACGCTCTTTCAGCCAAAAACCTCCCGCGAGCGTCCAGCAGCATGACCGCCCCCCTGCCCCTCCAGGACGTACCGAAGCAGATCGCCGAGGCCCTGGAGAACGAGGACTCCTGGGAATTTGACATTTTTGAACTGGAGGCTGCCACGCAGAAAAGGGCTTTGAGTTATCTTGCTATCAAAATCTTTTCCCGCTTTGGCATCTGTGAATTCTTAAAGTGCCCGGAGCCAACCATGAGGCTGTGGTTGCAGATGATCGAATCCACTTACCATTCCTCTAACCCCTACCACAACTCCAGCCACGCGGCTGACGTGCTCCAGGCCACCTGCTACTTCCTGTGCCAAGAGAGGATAAAGCGCGCTTTAGATTCGGTGGACCAGGCCGCCGCCCTCATCGCAGCCGTGATCCACGACCTGGACCACCCGGGGAGGACCAACCCCTTCCTGTGCAACTCGGGCAGCGAGCTGGCCATCCTGTACAACGACTTCGCGGTGCTGGAGAGCCACCACGCGAGCCTGGCCTTCCAGCTGACACTCAGAGACGACAAGAGCAACATCTTCAAGAACATGGAGAGGAGTGACTTTCGGACGCTGCGCCAGGCCATCATCGACATGGTGTTGGCCACGGAGATGACCAAGCACTTCGTGCACCTCAACAAGTTTGTCAACAGCGTCGTCAAGCCCTTGGCGGAGCTGGAGGAGCGCGAGGAGACGGATGCAGTGCGAGCGGACATCAACACGATGCTCAGGACTCCAGAGAACCGGACGATGATCAAGCGCATGATGATCAAGTGCGCCGACGTGTCCAACCCCTGCCGGCCCTTGGAGCAGTGCATCAAGTGGGCCTCACGCATCTCGGAGGAGTATTTTTCTCAGACCGATGAGGAGAAGCGGCGGAACTTACCTGTGGTGATGCCCGCTTTTGACAGAAACACCTGCAGCATCCCCAAGGCCCAAATGTCCTTCATCAACTACTTCATCATAGACATGTTCGACGCGTGGGACAGCTTTGTGGACCTGCCAGTGCTGCTGCACCACCTGGACAACAACTTCAGGTACTGGAAGCAGCTCGACGACATGAACGTGCGGGGCTCACGCCCACCCCTGGTCTAGGACACGGAAGGGCCCCTGTGCAGAAAGCACTCTACTCGCCACTGTCCTTCGCCAGCGACTCTGCCAGTGAAAAGAAATGAGAACGGAACACTTGTTTCGTAAGATTTTATCGGTGACTTCTCCAAAACGTTGCCTTATTTTGTAGAGTGTTTAGACCAAATATTCTCGTGGGGAAAAACAGCAAACGGGGGATATTTACTAACTTGACTTTTTTGAAAAGGTACCCACGTTCAGTGGTAATGTATAATTCCAGATCTTTATGGAAGTTCTGTACCTGCACACTTTCAATAAATGTAACACCATTAAAAATGACATGTGAGGACATATCAAAGCACTTGTCATTTCATTTTAAACTTAAAAAGTGTTTACAAAATATTTATGGAAACCTGTATTTCCAGTGGCTGTGCAACTGGCCTCGCACAGCTATGTGACCTGAAATAACGTGTTTTGTGCCCCACCCCCGCCCTCAAGACCTCCCCCGCCCCCATGCGATCTGCTCATGAACAACCAACGCTATGCACATTTAACAAAAGGCGATGCTAACGTTTCGCTGAAATCCTAATTGTCGGACATAACGACTATAGATTCTCTAATAAATGGCCCTTTAATTGCTCACCTTTCTCAAAATCATCTCTCTGAACTTTACTGACAATTACTGACATTGCCTGCTGGGTGCTTCCTGTAAATATCTATACAATCTCCACACAGACCCACAGTAGTCTCCGCTCAGCTCCACTCAGTTTTGCATCCTAAGGGCCGTAAAACACAAACCCTGATGATACTACCCCTCTCGGTGGAGATCCTTTCGGTTCCATTGTTTCCATGACGAAGTCCAACTTCCCTGTGGAGAGCACGAGACCACGAATGACCTGAACCTCCCCTGTGTCTTCAGCCTACACCCCTGTGGGTGCTGCAGCCCCGTTTCCAGGGTCCCAGATACCTCACCGTCTCACCTCCATGCCTTTGCACACACAGTTCCCTCTACTGACTCACTCTTAAAGCCCAACAGGAAGGAGCGATCCTCCCAGAAATGTTTGGAGAGCTACGCACAATTATTAATAAAAGTCAAACTAAAATAGCATGCTACCCAGAAATACTGAAACATAAGCCGGGTGTGGGACCTCGGGACACAGCCACCAACTGGAACAGTGGTAAGCGCTGGACAGAGACACAGCGTTACCTAGTGTGAGACAGTCACACTGAACTGGAACCCCACAGATTTTCTTAGATAATCACAGCTTTTCTTTAAGGAATGGACTACTTCCTCTTCATCTTGGCTAAGAGGAGAATGGAGACAGGATTTGACAGCTCCCAGGGCATCTTAGTAACTAAAGATTTACCACCAGTTTGTGGGTTCAGTTTCAATACATGCCTGTCACTTCTACACATGACCCTAAAAGATAAAACATAACAGGAAAAAATGATGACCGTTTTTACTACCCAAATCTTTAAAATGTCAGTGAACCAAAACGCACACAAAGACTTCCATACAAATGAAGAAACAAATCACCAAGTAGAAAAATAGTCATAACCGAGGACAGAGCCATGTCGGTATAAATAGCTTTGCCAAATTTACATAAAATGATAAATACACAAACAAGCAAAGGTACGGACAGATAACTTAAAAAAATAAAGATGATCAATAATATAATGAACGACATAGAAAAGAATCTCAGTTTGACTTGTAAAATGTGCAAAGACTAAAAGGAAGCCACCATCAGTGTCCATGAGGGTCTGCAAACATCTCCCCACCCCCACCCCGATCCCGCGGGTGGGAACATAAACGCCCGTTCAGCAGGCCATGGGTTTCAAATGTGCGCTGAAGGCATAAACACGCTCTTCAAACCTGCATTCGCTCCCAGGATGGTACCCAGAGGAAAGACGTAGATGAATAAAGTACTATTTACTCATGAAAAATATAATCCCAATCCAAACCTCAATCCATTATTAAGTGAAAACTATACACACAACAGTATTACATAAGCCTCTGTTTTGAGTGAAAATAGAACAGGTGCCTGTTGGGAGAGGTCCAGACAGTGGGTTCCGCATCAGAAGTGTGACGGTGGCATCACGTGCATGTACACATGAGTGTCATGTTTATTATTCTTTTTACACTTTCTACCTTTTGTACATATTTACGCAAAGTATAAATTTTCTGTAATCGGCTGACAGCACTGTTTTTAAAATAAAGATTTTGTTTTGCGGACAATAAATTTAGGATAATTATATATGGAGTAAGAAAGCAATGCATCCATGGAAAAGAAAGAGTCAGCTTTAAATTACTGATCACATATTCTGTTTGTTCGTCACTTAGAATATTTTTTTCAAATGGTTTCAATATAGTAAAGCCTTAAACGGCTGGCCCCACGCACTCTTCATTTGTTTTTTCACACACAGTGTATTTTAAGGGCTGCTCATCTGATTGCATTCCTTTCATTTAAAGTCATCTCATCAAAATGCAAAATTCCTAAGAGCTGTTTTATCTCCAAAAACCCCACATTTAAGTCTAATTTATGTCTTATATTTCTTAGTAAACGGAAAACACATTTTACTAAAAGTCAATGAACTTAAGCTGTAAAAGGCCAAGGCTGACGGAGAAGTGAAACGCCACGAGAATAAAAAGCCCCCGGCCTTCAGCTCTTCCCCACAAGCTCACTCCCCTGCAGAAGGCCCTCCATCAGCGGCAGCACGCCTGCCCCACCGCCCTCACGCTTCCTCAGCCCCTGAGTGAGTGAGGAGCCTGCTCATGGGCCTCACGCTTCTCCAGACCCGGGACCCACAGGGGTGATCCCAACCTCGCCCTTCCCCGCCCCTCAGTGCCCGCCTCGGTGTTTCCTCAGCACCCCTTCCCGACGGGGTCCTGCGGGTGGACCTCAGCCTTACGCTCTGCTGGAGGTCTGCCCCGCCTGCCCTGCCCCTGAGGGTGCTCCAGGAGCTGAGCGTTCCGGCCTCCTCCCAGGCTCTGCCTCTGCCCAGGGCCTTCCCCAAAGCTCCTGCTGTCCTGCACCTGGAACCAACGCCCGTCCTCCCTGCCGTGCCTGCCCGCTCCTCCAAATCCTGTGACTTCAAGTCCAGCCAACCTCTTGCTAATTTCAAGGCTCTGACACCACACTTGCCGGTTCCTCTACCTAGAACAGTGGTTCTCAACCTTCTGGGCCTTTAAATACAGTTTCTCATGCTGTGACCCAACCATAAAATTATTTTCGTTGCTACTTCATCACTGTCATGTTGCTACTGTTATGAATCGTCATGTAAATATCTGATATGCAGGATGGTCTTAGGCGACCCCTGTAAAAGGGTCGTTCCACCGCCAAAGGGGTCGCGACCCACAGGTTGAGAACCGCTGACCTAGAGCATCCTTTGGACTCTTTGGTCGACCAGGCCTAGTAATGCCCAGGTTCCTTCAAGACCAAATTTCAGCATTTCTTCCCCAGTGACTTCTAATCCCTCTAGGAAACTAGGTGCCCACTTCCTTCTCTGGGCAAAACGCACACATATTCTCTCTCTCTCTCTCTCTCTCTCTCTCTCTCTCTCTCTCTCTCTCACACACACACACACACACACACACACACACACACACACTTATCTGGCTTATATTGTAACTGCTTGTTTACATGTCTTTCTTCTCTAAGCTCCTTAAGGGAATGCCATACCTGAGTTGTCTATATACACCCAATACCTCCCCTAGGTCAGCAGTAGCCCACACCACAGTCTCCATAAGTCTGCTGAATAAATTTAGTGCCACCCATCAGGACACTAAGTTATTTGCAGACAATTTCCTCTGTACGGCACACGTCCTTTAACATGTATCAGGTACGCGTGGGGCGGGCTTCTGAGGCTGGAGTGTCTGTGAGGGTCAGCTGGACACCTGCACCTCTGGAGACCGGAACCATCACCCTGATGGCGCTTGGACAGTGTGGAGTGACTTCCAGGAGGGGCTGGGAACCGGGAGGGATTTAGCTGCTGCCAAAGCTAGTCCTGGGTGATAGTTCCCGCGGCATGATGATGACAATGATGGCAGAGAAAAAAAGGAAAATGCCTAGGACGCCCACAGTGCGTGTCAGGAATGGGCCGGGAAAGGTTGTGTGTGTCTGAGAAGGTCCATAGTGTTCTGTTAGCCAATAAGTCAAGTGAGGCCAGTAGGGGAGGCCCCTTTTCCAAAGAGGCCTTGTGACTCCACTCACCTGATAGCTGGGAGCTCCCATACAGCCAAGAGAAAGGTGACCATCAGCAAGATCATGAGTCTGAGCCTCTGGCTAGGCGACATCCACAGACTCCCAGGGCCTTTCTGATTTCTCCAGAGCCCTCCCCTCCACAAGATCTGAGCTGCGCACCACTCGGCTGCAGGGCAGAGCACACAGTGGGACACCACACGCACCTGTTGGCTGAGAGGACTCTGACTGTGTGCTCCTCGGGTACAAGGAAGTGGGAGAGCCAAACACCCCGCAGCGGGCTCTGGACAGGGGTCACCAGGAAGTGACGACGCCGACCCAAAGGCTAATAAGAAGATTAAATGTATGAAAAAGAGGACTGAGACTAATACAAATTTGATTCCCTTTTCCCAAAGGAATATCAAGCATCGGAGATGTAAGAGGTTAAGTGAAGGGCCAATGAGATGGTTAGGTTCATTTATAAGTGAGTTACTGTTGAGGAGAGGTTCCGAAAGATGATTTACCTCAGAGTGAACAGTAAGATGTTCACGGCCGTTCTATGGTAATTGATGCGCACGTGGAGATGGATACTAAATTCCTAACTCGCCAATGCGAGGGTCCAAAGAGGAAAAGGAAACCAATCTTGCCAAGGAATGTACATAGCAATTTGCAGCTCTTCATAGACAAAGATAATTATTAAACTTGGGTTTAATTGGTTTTTCCAACTTACAGAGTTGGGGAAGGCAAAGGAAGTAAGTTAAGCAGAACTATCTGTTCTTTTTCACACAATTTGCTCTTTTTCATCCAATTTGCTCAGTTCTGCCAGGGCTGGCCAAGCTGTGAGACGGA